ACGGCCTCTCCGTGGTTCGGGGGACGGAGCCCAGAAGCTCCTCTACCGCGCCTGGTGTGTCCGGGAGGGCCCGTCTGAGGCAAGAGGCCCGGCCGGCCAGGGCACCCTCTTCTTTCCTGGGGGGAAGGGGCCCCAGAGGCAGTGGGCTGGAGTGAGCTGCGAGGGAGAGGGGTAGTCTCCCGGTGCCATGTGGCTCCGGCTGGGCTGAAAGAGCACCGGGTCAGGAGTCCCGCGAGATGGGTTTCCATCTCTGCTCTGCCCGACCTGAGGCTGTGACTCGGCCAGGCCTCTCCCCTCCTGGGCTCCAGCTCACCCACAGCACTGTGTGTGTGATCCCCAGGCTGGGACATCGCATGCTCCCCGTGTGTGTGTGTGTGCATGTGGGTGTGCACATGTGTGTGAGCCCCAGGCGGGGACATCGCATGCTCCCCGTGTGTGTGTGTGTGCATGTGGGTGTGCACATGTGTGTGAGCCCCAGGCGGGGACATCGCATGCTCCCCGTGTGTGTGTGTGTGCATGTGGGTGTGCACATGTGTGTGAGCCCCAGGCGGGGACATCGCATGCTCCCCGTGTGTGTGTGTGTGCATGTGGGTGTGCACATGTGTGTGAGCCCCAGGCGGGGACATCGCATGCTCCCCGTGTGTGTGTGTGTGCATGTGGGTGTGCACATGTGTGTGAGCCCCAGGCGGGGACATCGCATGCTCCCCGTGTGTGTGTGTGTGCATGTGGGTGTGCACATGTGTGTGAGCCCCAGGCGGGGACATCGCATGCTCCCCGTGTGTGTGTGTGTGCATGTGGGTGTGCACATGTGTGTGAGCCCCAGGCGGGGACATCGCATGCTCCCCGTGTGTGTGGGTGTGTGTGTGCGCGCGCGCATGCGTGTGATCCCCAGGCTGACACCTGGCTCACCCTGCAGCACTAAATGTGCGCGTTTCAAAGCCTGGGTCCCCACCTTGCACATCTGTGCGAGGGCTGGCGGGCACCCCTCACCCCCCACAAGCACAGTCAGGAACCGCCGCTGCCCTCCCCAGTGTGAGGGGCCTGAAGGGAAGAGGCCCCCCCTTCCCTCACGCCAGACTGGCCCCCCTCAGGCTGGCAGCCCCACTCTGCGGAGGAGGTCGCTGAGGTCCCAGGAGGCGTGGGAGGCAGAAGCGGGGTGCTCACACTGACCCAGCTGGCCGCCGGCCCACCGGAGAGAGGAGAGAGATGGCTCCGGAGATGGGGCCGGCCATCTGCCCTCCCGGCCCCCTCCCCGGCCTCCACCTGATCCGGTCGCCCCTGGATGCTCAGCCAGATTAGGTTTCAGTTCTGCTGATGGACAGAGGGGCAGAGGCAGACGAGGGGAGCTCAGCTGTCCCAGCCGCAGGGCGCAGATCTCCCGGCTGTTCATTTCCCAAATATTTATCTTGTGCTTGCTCTCCTCCCCCGAGGCCTCCGTGAGAGGAAACCAGGTTTCCGAGGGAAAGGCAGGGAACCAGCCTGCTCCGTGGGCAAGGAGAGCAGGCGCAGCAGCCCTGGGCGGGCCCTGGCCCCCCTGGTAACCGGGGGGTGGGGAGGGGGGGACAGGTGGTCAGACTGGAGGGAGGACCACGGGCCCTGGCCCTGCCACAGAGGGAGTGAGATGCTTCAGAAGAAGGCTTGGCTCCCAGGTGGCGTGTGCTCCTCCTGAGAGCCGAGGAGGAGGAGGAGGAGGAGGAGGAGGAGGAGGAGGAGGGAGGGAGAAGAGCGCGCGTCTTTGCTTTGGATCCTGGTGGGTTTGTAATTATGCCTAAGTCGTTGCTAATTAGGGGGCTGCTAATTAGACATATCATTAGGGGACTTGCCGGTGGGGGCTAATTGTGCGGTGGCCCTTTAAGAGTCACCCCTCTCTCCCGCCTACACACACACACACACACACACACACACACACACTCCTTCGCAGGGAGGTTCTGCCAACACTCTGCCTCCCTCTCCAGGAGGAGCCAGCTCCTGCCTGCCCGCCCAGGAGTGCATGCGTGAGGAGGTGGGCGTGCTGGGAGCAGGCTGTGGGCTAGACTCGGAGAACTTGCTTCAGACAAAAGTGGCAGGTGCTGGGAGAAGAGAGGCTGGTGGCCGGAGAGGGGTCGGGGCTGGGGGAGCCTAGGAAGACCCCTCCCTTCCTCTCTCAGTTCCTTTTCGATGGGTTGCTGGGTTACCATGGCAACGCAGGGGTGGGGCAGAGCCGCTGGAAGCCAGGGCCACTCTTGGAAAGAGAAACGAGGACGAGGAGCCCCAGAGTTGCTGCTGGGGGACGTCAGGCAAGTTACTGACCCTCTCTGAGCCTTGGCCCTCTCCTCTGGGAAGCGGCTGGGGACTCCCCCAAAGGGGCTGGTGCGTTGTGAGTAAGATGGTCAGAGAAGAGGACATGGGGCAGACTCCCCGAGGAGAGAGAGGGGGGTGTGGAGGAGAACCGAGGAAAAGGGAACAGCAGGAGCGAGGTCTCAGAGGCCGCACGTGTCCACCGTGTCAGGAGGCAGTGTGGCTGGGCCAGTGGGCCCGGGAAGGAGGGGACGAGGCCAGAGGAGGGATGGGGGCCAGACTGTGCGAGACCCTATGAGGGGGGCAGAGCGGAGGACGCTGGTGCCCTGAGTGAGGAGGGAGCCACGCAGGGTTCTGAGCAGCGGGGAGATGTGCACTGACTTGCATTTTTAAAAGAAACCTAGA